CTGACTCCAAATTAGTGTCCTAAATCCAAACTCATTAACTCTCAAGCCAAACAAATGTGTGCCAGATCGTCTGCAACCTGATGTGTGTTTGAGATTACGAGCACTATAATTCAGCCCTGTTTATTTGGTAATCTGTCTGAGGATTTGGGCAAAACGGTGCAGGACATGGAACCATCTGTAGAAGTTGCAGAGGGGTTAGCATCGGGCAGGGCCGAGAGGTTTACAGGTTTTACAGTAAGGCAAATATATTCCTGCAGTAATGGAAAGATGGTTTTCTAGCAGCCTAGTCTTTGTTTACTTATTTATGCTGGGGTCAAAAGGACCCATGGTGTCTTGAACAGGTAGGAAAAACACAGAGATAAAAAATAATATGCAATACTTTCTGTGCTAATCCTCAGAGATTATCATTCTAATATTCGCCTTTTAATCTCCTTTTAAGTCTTTTTTTAGATTATTGTCCAGTCTTGTGTGTTTGTTCATGCTGCTCAGGATCATTTTCCTAATATCAGATATTTTATATCTTAAAAAGCGTGGCTGAAATTAGCAGCCTACGTGTATTTGTACCAGAACATCTGGATTTAGGCATAAAGGGGAACCTGCAGGACACAGGTCTCATTGGCTGTGATTCTGCACGGTTACTGGTGTTTGCATGCTCTGCATCACAACTGTTTCTCTGATCTAAGTGCTGCTTGTTTTATTCATTCAGTTCAGTCTGCAATAATGTGATTTTCTATCAACAAATTTGCAATAGGAGGCAAGAGATTGGCATTTTCCACTGATTTACCGCAGTTAATGGCTGTATTATTACCAACAATTTCCACAAAAGTGACAGTTTGACCTCACTCAGTTGCAGACCGATTGCAGACTCACTTTCTTATCTTCATCTTGATGCATCGTAGGTGCTTGGAACTTGCAAATTCAAAGCAGTCTTTTCAGAGGCAACGAGATCGCAAGTTCATTGTTTGTCACTCCAATAACAAACAATTGGAGTAGGTAAGTTATTTCATAGTAATTATATTAACCAACATGCTAAAATTCATCAGATTGCTTAAAAAATACAATGAATGCAACAGAAGGGTAAAGCCTTATCCGAAAACAGTGATTATTAAAAAAAAAAAAAAAAAAGAACAGACAGGAAGAAAGGAAATGTCAGCATGCTCAACTAGATGAAATATTTGTAGCAGTATTTCCCAATGGCTTTGACTCATTCAGAGTAATTTCTTCTTATCAGTTGTTAAGTGATGATCAACACTGTTTCTGGGTCCTGCGTTGGCAGAGGCTCTTATTTTTCAATGTGCTCCAGTGCTGTATTTCTTGTTTTTGGATTAGGCTTCAGACCTAAAAGAAGCTTAAAAACTATTCAATTGTCATTCTACTTTTGTACAGCTTTTTATTAATGCTATTCGCATAAACTTAAATTCATAGTACAGTGATTCATGCTTTTAAATTTCGCTAATCTTACCAATACAACAAACCCTAAAAATCTAATTAGAGTAGCAGCCAACACAACAGACCAAAGCCAACCAAGTGCACAACATCACATATTGGATATAGCTCAGAAAAATGTGCAATTCGTCTGTAGTCTCACATTTATGAACAGAAATGTCATGAAAACTTGCACAAAATAGGGTCAAGTAGATGCGACAACAAAAACCAAACCAGCCTCCAAAAAGACATAACCAAAAAAAAAACTGATGGGAAAATATCAAGAAATAGTTTTCCTCCCAATCTGAAGGTAACTCTGCATTTCCCCTGTTGTCAAACAAAATGGCCCCAGCTTCGGTTCCAGTATGATGATAGATGTACATGCGTGCAAGTCCTCTCAGTCCTTTGTCAGTCATCGTACTCCTGAGATATGCATTCAAGCATCAAACAAGGGAAGAGTGCTCAGCACCGGCAGTAGATATGGGCAGATGTCACTAATGACAGCCCCCATGGCTCAAGCTACACATCCTGACACTAGCAGCCCTGCAACTTTTGCAGACTTTCAGCAGACTCTTAACCGCTCAGCTGTCATTTCTTTAAAAAGCCTGAAAAACTAAAATAAATCAAAGAGTGTCATTTTTCTACCGTATGATGAGACCCTGTCCCAAAAACTCATTGAACTGTCAAATAAAAGAATTCAATTTGTTGAACATGTCACCTGTGCTGCTGTCTTCGTATTAGCCTAAAGCTAAAAATACCTATGTAGCTAGCTGCAACGTCACATAAAGTACTTCAACTAGCCTAACTTCACGATGCCTCCAAAAGCCTACGATTATATAGCTTTTTATCTTTATGTCTGAAATTACATCCGAAGTGTATTTTTTTTTTTGTTTTTTAGAGATACTTCTAGCACAGTGGTTAGCACTGTTGCCTCACAATGCTAACTATGTGGAGTTTGCATATTCTCCCCGTGTTTGCGTGGTTTCTCTCCAGGTACTCCGGCTTCCTCCTACAGTCCAAAAACATGCATTTAGTGGTTTTAGGTTAATTGGGAACTCTAAATTGCCCAAAGGTATGAATGTGAGTGTGAATGTTTGTCTGTGTCTATGTTAGCCCTGCGACAGACTGACCTGTCGCCCTAAGATAGCTGGGATAGGATAGGTTCAAGCCCACCCGCAAACCTGACAGGGATAAGCAATAGAGGATGGATGGATGGATAGAAATGCTTCAGCCAGAATATCGTATCATTTTCAAATGTCAGCTAGCTAGCGTGCTTACTGCTAACTTCTACCTCTGCCCATTCTCATAAATCCTGTTTCCCATAGGCGATCTTGATTGTAAGACCTGTGAGAACAAAAGCACGATGATTACTTTAGTAGCCTACTGTTGCAAAAAATCTGGACTATTTTTAAGCCTAAGTGTATGTTTCCGTTTAGAAATTAAAGATTATTTCTGCCCTAAAATCACCAATTACATCAACTGATACTATTTGATAGAAACTCCTTTGTATTTGAAAGACATGGCTTCAGATTTTCATTACGAAAAATGTAGGATTCTGTTTTGGGAGCGCCACTCACACAGCAGAGACTGCTGCTTTGATTAAAGTGATTCAGAGTAGTTTTGTTTTTCAAGAGCTGTACGGTGGAGCGTGCTGGCACTTTTGCCCCACATATAGCACATGCACCTCGTGGTCGGCTTTCTGTGTAGAGTTTTGATTGTTCTCCCGTGGGTTTCTTCTATAACTCTGGCTTTCACCCACATTGAAAGGACATGCTTGTTAAAGGGCATCCACACATGAAGAGATTTGCTCATCATATATTGCTTTCTAGCTGATAGCTGGCTGTCAGAACATTCAAGACTATGGTTGCCTAGGTAACCCTCTTCTGTATTTTCTACATTGCCACATGTCAATCAACAGCATTGTTCACTCTTGTTTGTAGTTACTTCAATCGCTCGCTTCAAAGTTGAGAAAAGTTTATCTTGGGACCTGTTTGTTTCACATCGCCAAGTGGTTATCTCGCTTTGTTGTTTGAAATTGCTAATTTATTACAGCTACTGTGTGGACGCCGCTTTAGAACACCTGTTGATTGCAAATTGCTCATAGGTATGGATGTGAGAGTGTGTGGTCGCTAGCCTCGCTGTGATAATCAGCACAGTGACACCAGATTTACCAGTACGTCACAGGACAGCAATGGACTTGTGACCTTAGCAGTCCACCAAATGGACTACCAACCTAAACCTAAATTGCCCATAGTGTAAATGTGAGTGTGAATGGTTGTCTGTCTCTCTGTGTTAGCCCTGCGACAGACTGGAGATCTGTCCAAGGTGTACGCCACATCTCACCCAATGGCACCTGGGATAGGTTCCAGCCCCCAGTGACCCTAAACTGGGTAAGTGAGGGTAAGGCTTTCAAATTAGCTAAACATGAATGACGAAGGACTTTAACTCATATCTGAGGGAATAATGTTGCGTTTACTAGTAAAAGAATCCAAGACTTACCCCACTTAATATCATACTTAATATATCTGTCTTCTTCTGCTGAGACTGAGCATTTATTATAACGGCAGCAGATGAGCAGCATTTTGAGTTTTGAGAGCAATCAATAAGCGCATCATTAAAATGTGCAGAGGAGATGCAGACTACAAAATCTTAGAAAACTAAGATTAATGTTTCTTTATTTTCATGAGACGATTAGAGAATGAATACAAAAAAATAAACATTTGTTACAGACTTCATCTGACAACAAGTTTAGTAACTTTATTAAAGGAAATAATAATTATAATGCCGCATTAACATCTGCTTAAGAGATGTTAAACAGTGCCGTGCGATACTGCAAATTTTGTTTGATTTAGGATTCATCAACAATTGTCAAATTCTGAAAAAAAAAATTTAATGACCATAGTTTAATAACTATGATTTTTACTTTCCACAATACTTAGTTAATACAACAAAACAAACCTTTCAGCTTTTCATGTTTTGAAACTGGGATTTTTTTGAGACCTGGAATGTTTCTAAAACACTTTCGGTTGTTTTCATTTGTGCTGTTCACTTTTAATAAAGTAGATGTGACAGTCAACACAAAAAGGTTCAGACCTTTTTCATTGTTTATTATTGAGATGTATTTTTTAATTCCCGGAAAGTAATAATTAACACAACTGAGTAAGCTACATACTGCACAACGTATCCTAGTACCAGTCCGATTCCAAGACCAGTGTTGATATCACTGCTATCATATTTGGATCCCACCTCTTATGCTAAGCTTGGTGGTCAGTGGCGTAGCACCACCCAAGTCCTGGGTGTCAGATGTATGGAGTCGGAGGTGTAAAGAGACTTTGACCTCAGGTTGGGGCGGACTTATTTTAAAAAGAAAGAAAGAAAGAAAGAAAGAAAGAAAGAAAGAAAGAAAGAAAGAAACGTGCATGTTCTACAGTAAATCTAATGACTGCCGGGGGTCCTCTGCTGTTGACCCTTGTTCTGAGGGGCTAATGGGCGGAGACCTGTTTGTGTGCTTCTTTGGGTTTTTTTTTTTTTTTTAAATCCTCTCAGGTCCCTGCTGTGATGCGTACTGCAGAAGTAGGCTGGGGGCGCACACACGCTGCAGCGCCACGCACCCCTCACACACACTCCCATATACATCATTTCCATTGGACATTGGCACAGAGACGCAGCGCGACGACCACTCTGACATATCTGCTTGGTACGGACTGCCGAAACTTCTGAGACAGGGAGGCGGGTAGATCCTTTTAGCTGGTCCCAGATAGTGGATTCAATCCACGTTCTCGTTTCTTTCTTTGCTTTTTTCCCCTCTCCTCCTCATTTTCTCCTCCTCCTCCTCGTCTTCGCCTGGTTTCGTGTTACAAAGCCCAGGGAGGGAGTTGCGCGGAGAGCCAGTTCTGTGTGAAAAACTGAATGACAGGATCATATGGCTTGATTTGCCTTATAGTCCAAACATTTTTAGGAGGAAAAAAAGGCATAGGAGACACGAGAGGAACTGCGAGAGAGAGCATCAGAAATTGATGAGGATGTGGAATAATTTATAACTCAAATTCAAAAACAAACGTGAGATAACGGAGAAAGCAGAGAGAGAGAGACAGAGAGGCAGAAACGGATACTGGCTCCAGTCGTCAGAGAAGGACGGAGAGCGGGGAGGAAAAGCGCAGGACGCATTGCCCGTGATCATCAGCACCATCACCGTAATAATAAGGTAAGTGTGCGCTCGTTATTTCTCGGCAATATTGCTTCCAGCGCTGTGAGGCGGCTGGATTTTAACACACTAACGAAGCAAGCAGAGGCAGAAAACATCCCAAACCCCGGAGCGTCCGAATCTCCAACTGTTGCCAAGAAGCCCACGTTTTTTTAAATTTCTTCCTAAAACAGCACCATCTAAGGTGCAGTGCGTTTGTATAGACAGATGATTTGGGGTGTTTTGGGTTGCCAGTTTTGGGGCTCAATGCGATGCAACTTTATCCCCTTTTCGCGCTGTGTAAACACAGCGCACTGCGGTCAGGGGCAGTTGGAAGGGAATCAACTCCGGGCTTTTTTCTACTGTATTTCTGTGCATCTACTGTAATGTGCTGCCGCTGCACCTCCACAATCACAGCCCGGCAATGCTACCGTGCAGCAAAAACGCACAACGTGAAGCTGACCTCTCGGTGTATACTGGTGCAGCAGTCTGAGAATGATCTCTTTTGTGTCTGCCTGTATTTCAGGCTCTTAAGTTCTGAGCGAGTCTGGTGCCTGACAAGACAAACTTTTAGGCACCTTCTTTTGCTTGGTAGTGCTTTTTTCCGCCTCTAATAACATCAATACAGATCCCCCTCGTAATCCTCACTCACTGTGGCCGCTGTCGTCTTCCTGCGAAGGGAAACTGCTTTGTAGATTTCAAAGTTTTCTGCACTTGTGCACATGTGTGGATTTTAGATTTGTGAAGAGGTTTTAAGTTTCAGATGCAAAGAAAGAAAGAAAGAAAGAAAGAAAGAAAGAAAGAAAGAAAGAAAGAAAGAAAGAAAGAAAGAAAGAAAGAAAGAAAGAAAGAACGGAGTCCCTTCAACTGCTGCCTGTATCCCTCAGTTAATACTCAAAAATGAAGCTCTTATGGTGACAATAATCCACTGGTTTGAGATATTACTTTGGAGTGGTTTCCTCCTTGTTCTTCTTTCCCTCTCTTTCTTTTTTCCTTTGCCTTAATGAAGTAAGTATTAGCTTCACTTGAGTGATTATTGTAATTACTGAGGAGGAGGAGGGTTGGAAGGTGGAAGGAGGGGCGTGTGTCCACACTGGACAGTGAGGAAGTGAGGGTTGGTGTAAGGAGGTGGTAGTTTAGAAGAAGAAAGGAAGGGTGTTGGATTGGGGGTCCCTGCAAAGGGCTGTTGCCATGTGGGACAGAGGAGATAGGTTTTTAGTAGTGATATCATACTTGAGGATCTGTTTTCTGACTGTGATATTTGTGTAACTGTCACAGGAGACTCCCTTTCCCTGTACCACAGGTGGGCGGGTGGCTTCTGCAGGTCTCTGTGCGTCCGCTTGTGTCACTGTGTCATTTGCAAAGATTAATGGAAGCAATAAGCGAGTAGAAATCAGAGTTAGCAAGTTGACATTTGCCGTGCAGAGGGATGTAGCAGTGGATAAGCCTGCCAAAATTCAATTCACCCACCTTTTAATTTGGTATAAATCAAGTTCACAGACTTTGAGGGGGAAAAAAGAAAAGTAGACACATAATCCTCACTAAAGGCACGCGCAGTATTGCACAGATTATTCGGCAGTGAAGCGGGTTACAAGGAGAGATCTTTCAAAACCAATTTAGTTGTTGAAGGATTCCTCCTGACATCTGCATTATTCCCAGGCTAAAAAAAACAAACTTAAAAATCCACTTTTATCCAGGGTGTTCGCAACAATGACACACACTCTGTCGCTCTCTCTCTCACACACACACACACACACACACACACACACACACACACACACACACACACACACACACACACACACACTGTAGCCCTCTCGCCCCAGATGTTAATGCCTCTATTGAGAGAGTCCTGCCGACTCAATCTCTTCATTGTTGGACAGACAATGGACTCCACATCCTGACAGCCAGCCTCCTTCCTATATCCCCCTCATGCACTCCTAAAGCTGCTCCTCATACACATGCAGTGAAATGGCACACAGTCATCCAGGCTCATAGCGCACACATGTAAATGGCAATGCCTCTACAGGCACGTGCGCAGCTTCATTTGATGTTTTCATAAAAGCTTGACTGATGTGGAAAGTCTCCTACTGTTTGTGTGTGTGTGTTCCCGTCTTGTCTGGGTTTCATGCCATCCATGCTGGTCCCCTCTATTCCAAGGTTTTGCAACTGATTCGCTTTGACTGATGTGAGTGTTTTGTTTACAGAATGAAAAAAATGCTTGTTAAAGTTTCTTAAGAGGCGCATTGCAGCATTAGCCCCAAAGTTCTTAAATGTCCCATCGGAAAACTGCAACAAAGAACAAATCACAGGCAGTTTCCACACGTGGGGGTCAACACTGCGTCATAGACCATAAGTCGTGACAGAGGCAGATGCCTCCTGTCTGCTCTGTGCCCGCCCGTTTGCGTGCGTTTAATCGTCACCCCAGTGTCACATGCATCACGTCAGCGCGACGTGTACTGCAGCCCACAACCAAGCAGCTGAACACAGTAAAAAGCAACAATGATGGGATCATTGCTGATTATGTAACTCATTTTGCATACGGGAACACACAGAGCCTGTGTTCACGCCGGCTGTGGTGTATCACGAAGGTATGGATCTGAATCCGCTCATCATAATTTCCTTGGAGGCTCTGTGTCTTTTGCAGAGCAACAGTTGATGTGCCAGCTTCTCACAGTAGGCTTTTTTCTTTTTTTTTTTCAAAACGTCCTTTCATCCCAGGACCGATTTAGTCTATCTGCTTTTCTTTGCTTAAAAAAAAAAAAGGATCTCACAGAAACAGATTTTGTTTTGTTTCTTCTGTTTCACACTGGTCTGTATTTCCTGCTGAGGTGCAAAGAGTTCACATTTCGAGCTATGCCCTCTGTGTTCTAATGCAGCTCAAACATAATCGCACTGATTCTGTGGGGGGTTTTTAGAGCTCCTCGGTGTATGTGTGTGTGTTAAACAGAGATATGGTTCATGGGAGGCCAGATGCAAGGTCCGGAGAGCTGAAGCAGATGGGTCGTGTGTGTGTGTGTGAGGGGAACAACGTGTTGCCAGTATGGGCTGGAAAGGCTGATGTTTAGAGAAGGTGTTTAAAGGAACACTGTGGCAAATGTGTCAGGGTTCAGGTTCAAAGTGATATAAACCTTATGCTGTATGGATAAGACAGTGTGTGTGTGTGTGTGTGTGTGTGTGTGTGTGTGTGTGTGTGTGTGTGTGCGCGCGCGCAAGATGTGCCTTCATGTTCCTAAGAGTAACATCACACACATGAAACTCAAACATTAACATAGTGTTACACATTAGCATGTCATTAGCACATTAATCACAAACGCTGAGCGCCTTTAATTAAACCCGGTCACATTTAATGCATTTTTTGTTGTTGTCTAATGCATATGTCTAAAATTATTTACTTCTGCTCTTACACCCTGCCTTTCCCCTGTTTTGTGTCTATAAGTACTGCTAGATGAAGTGCACTACAAGTGCCCAGCTGGTGCACTCATTACAACTAAAAAACTGAAAGAACAATGCTATGTTCTTCTTTGGCATCCATTCTGGACATTTGGAGGAAGGGAGGGGACCACTATAAAATGTTAAACCAGTAGGAGGATGTATCGTCAGCACCTATGGTGATGTCAGTGCTAACTGCCTTGCTAATATTGCTAATTGTTGCCTTGCTAATATTGGGAAATCTCTATGTGTTAATGACACATGCTCTGTTGTATTGTTTGGTATACAAGTGCATTATTGTCGTCTTTGCTGTAGAGGAATTTTGTAGAATAGGTGGTCAGAAGCTCGAGTGGTTTGGATAATGGTTGGTAACATCTTGCAACTGCTGCTGGAGGTTGCTAGCAGTTGCTAGTTGCAAAGTGGTTGCAAGTGCGTCACTCAAAACTCTCTTTTTAATTGCTTTGGTTGCTAGTAGGTTGCCTGAGTTGCTAGTAGTTTGCATGGAAGATGCCAACTCGTCTGCAAACACTTGCAAGCTCCTCCAAGCACTAGTGAAACTATGAAAAGTCAGGACAAACCGGTAAACAGAGGCTGTTTTCCTCAAGGTTAAAGTTGTGTTTTTTGAAATGTGTTGGTTGCAGCAGTAAAAAACAACTTTTAATCAAAGGCTTTTACAGTTTTCATGGTTTCACTATCGTTTGGCGTGTTCAAAGGCGAGTAATATTAAAAACAACTCATTTCAAGTGTAATTAGCTTAAGTAAGGTAATGAATTGCCTATATAATAAATTGAATGTGTTGCAAAAACGTGTTTTGTTGTTCCATTTCTAAACTAAATACTAGATTAAATATTCAAATCCCATAAAGCACCTCATTGGTTTTTGCAGTTAAGCGTGCCGTGTGAAAATGCGACAGAACTTTGGATTTCTTTACTTTGCACATTTGCATTTCTTCCTAATGTGAATGCATGACCGTTGAAAGACACTAAGAAAACACACAAGCATGTTAGTTGTCTCAGCAAATTCTGACGTTTCTTAAAACTGACGTGGTCGTCATTTATTGTCCAAGTACTACAGATGGCACTCTTCCTGTAACGCAGAGCACAAATTGTGCTCATGCTGAATGGTACACACACCACTGCACAACCTCCAGCCTCCGTCTCAGTTGCTTTAAGGCCTGCTGGGAAGTTTCCGTTAGGCAGCAAGGACGGATCTGGGGGGGTTTTGGCTGCGGCTGTGATTGCAGTTGTTCCGAGAGGAGAAGCTTTTTCTGTTCTGCAATTTACCCTTCCCTTTGAGCTTTTTCTTTTTCTCTCTCGCTCTCATCCTCTATCTCTCTTGTCCACTTACGCTCACATACACCCCCTCCACTCGTTTCGGCTCAACTCGAGTTGCATGATGAGGTCATTTTTACATTGCCAAAGTGTAAACCCTTACCACTTATATAGCTCGACTTTAATTGAACAGACAAGTGCACATTCAGTCTACTGTGAATGAAAACTATGCTAGGATACTAGGGTAATCCTTATTTGTGGCTCTAATAGTTGTGCCAGTACCTTGAATGCCCCGGGAGCAGCTGTTATAGATGTTCC